CGGAAGCTGTTGCCCTCGCCCACCTGCACCCGCCGGCAGGGGCACGTTGCGGCAGCGCAGTCAGCGGCTGCAGCGGCCGGCGGCACAACTCTGGCTCGCAGCCCGCGGCCGGAGGGCAGCGGCCCGACCTGGCCGGCCCGCCGCCGGCGCGCGGCAGGTGCCTCGCGCGCGCGGCGGGCGCGCACGCCTGGCCGGCGGCGGCCGGCGGCGGCGGCGGCCGGCGGCGGCTGCGGGAGGAAAGCGGGAGGAGGGAAAGGAAGAAAGCGTGCGCCAGCTCACCTCGTTGACCAGCGAGTCAGCCCAGTCCTCGCTCCGCAGCTGGAAGAAGTCGGAGCCGGGGCCTGGGGCGGCGCCAGCCACGCCCTGCACGCCTGGGCCGCCGCCGCCTTGGGCGCCGATTTGGCCGCCGCCGCCGCCGCCCTGGCCGCCCTCATACACTTCTGTCATCAGCCAGTCGCTGCCTGCGGGCGCCTGCCATTCGTAGTCACTGCCAGAGGAGGAGGAGGAATAGCCGCCGCCGGCGAAGAAGTCTGTAGGAGAGCAGGGAAGCGAGGGAGCGGCACAGCGGGCGGCAGCAGGGCGGCGGGTTGGCACCAAGATGGCTGGCGCCTTGACGCGAGCGCGGCACAGCGCGAGGCGCAGGCTGAGGCAGAAGAAAGAAGGGAAGCGGTGGGGAGGAAGGAGGGAGGGGTCTGTTCCTGTGGCGCCGCAGGCAGCCCGCCGGCAGGGGTGGCGGCGGGGCTGCCGAGCGGGGGCCGCGGGACTGGCGCGGCGGCGGCCGGCGGCGCGCCATGACGGCGGCGCCGCGGCGGCCGCCGCCTGCCGCTGTGTGCCAGGGGTGTAACGGTCGTGCCAGCATGGCGATGGCCGGAGGACCTGACTAGCCCCTGGGGCGGGCGCTGGGGTGAGGTGGCTGGTGCGGGCGAGGCGAGACGCAGCCGGTGGCCCGTGGCAGCGCTGGCGGCATCGGCAGCGGTACCGCATGCGCTGCAGCTACGCGACGAGCGCTGCTGCGCCTGTCCAGCCGCCCCAACGGCTGCCAGTGCGTGTAGCAGCAGCGAAGCAACGGAGGTGCAGGCAGCAAAGGATGCAGCACAATAGCCCGCAGACGGCGGCGTGCGCCAGGCGCGCCGCTGCTCTGCCTTGCCGCCGCTGCCGGCCAGCGTGCGGTCAACGCCATGCAGAGCCGCGCAAGGGAGCCGGCTGCGGGGGGCAGCAGGCGGGCGGCGGCCAGCCTCACTGTTGAAATCGTCGTCCAGCAGGCTCTCAGGAGGGTTGGCGGGGTCGGGCAGCATCTGCACCAGGTCGTCTGTCTGAGCGGCCAGCGCCGGCGACACCTCCAGCCCCTTCCACTCGAAAGCCCCTTCCTCGTCCGCCTGCAGCACCTCCTGAGGGTCGTCTGCCTTCCTGCGCCGCCCTTGGGCCACCGCCAGCCAGCCACGCCGGGCTCGCCGCCTGCGGCCGGGTCACCGGTTATCAGTCAGTATCCATGGTGTAGGTGCAGATAGGGCACAGCCAGGGCCAGGCGTGACTGGCAGGCGGCATGCATGTTGGTGACTGGCTTACCTGTGCTGCCCAGGGGCTACGGCCACCACACCATGGTGCTGCAGCACCCCGGCACTAGTCGCAGCAGCCTGCGGGCCCATGGCGAGGCCTAGACCAGAACCAGTCCAGTCGGTGTCGCTGCTCCCTGCTCTGCAGCCGTCCAAACCCCTGGGCTCTGACTTTTGGTGCCGATGTCGATCAATGGAAATGACGCGTGGGGCGTCAGCTGGCGCACATAGGCTCCCGCCAAGCTGTCGCCGCCACGCTGTCGCCGCTTGTGCTTCCCTTTCGAGCTTGGCGCAGCATGAAGCGTGGGACCTGCTTCTGATGCATGCCGGGCTTATCATTGGTTCGTGTCGATCCAGTTTACACTGGGCATTAGGCGACAGGTTGAGCACTGGTGTGTGGGCGGGCAGGCGCACTCGGGCACCCGCTGCGGGCCAAGCAGGCAGCCGCCAGTCGGTGCTGGGGAGCAGAATGGAAGGTAGGAAACAACAACGCACAAAAGTGGAGAGGCGTCCGGCAGCGGCACCAGGACCAGCAGCTCATCCGGTCGCAGTGGCAGCAAGGGGTGGGGCCCCGGCATGCCAGCGCAAACCCGGGCTGACGACGGACGCCTGGCTGCCGGCCAGCGCCCAGCCGTCAGCACCCTGGCTCCGCTGTCAAGAGTTGTAGGGGTAGATCCTCCTGGGGGGCGTGGCGCCGTCGTCCACGAAGCCGGTGCCCACCAGGCGGCCGCCGGAGAGGTCCACCATCGCCGACACAAAGGCCAGGGCCGCCGCCGACTTGACCGCCGCGGGCAGCGAGCCGACTGCAGCAGGGGGGGCAGTCGCTGGTGGGCAGGGGCAGCAGGGGCGGCAGGAGCGGCAGGAGCGGAGTCACAGCAGGCGGCAGAGCCGATGGGCCCACAGTGGAACGGCACGCAGGGCCGGTGGGGAGGAGGGGCTGGCCAGCGGGCAGCAGGCTGCCGCAGCGGCGGCTCACTTCGCAGGCCCAGCGCCAAGCCAGCGGCGCCGCCCGCCAGCGATCCGTTCACCCAATCCTTCTTGCCCCGCGCACTCTCCGCAAAGCACTGCACAGGCAGAGGTGGGTAGCACAGCGGGGGCCAGCGCTGGTCGGCAGCGGGGGCGAGCCAGCGCCACTGCAGCGCCTGGCTGGCCTGCCTGCCCGCAGAGGTGGAGCCCAGCCGCAAGAAACCCTGGGTGCGGCGCCTCACGGGGCAATGCATGTCCAGGCAGCGCAGCCGCCCGCCCAGCACGTCTGGCGCTGGCTCGGAGCCAGTCCAGCCAGCACACATGCGCAGCAGCAGGCGGTGCACGCGGCGGCGGGCCACAGGGCCGGCCGACAGGCAGGGGCGCTGCGGGCTCACGTCGACTGCCGCAAAGGTGCCGCCCACCAGCGCCAGCGTGGAGCCGTGCTGCGCCATCTGCACCCCCGTGCGCACCAGCGCGGGCCACGGCTTGTCCCGCAGCACCACAGGGATGTCGCCCCAGTTGGAGGCCACCGCCCCAAACAGCGCGCCTGCGCCAGAGGTGGACACGGGCGGCGGCAGCGGTCGGCAGATACGGCGGCGGCGGCGGCAGACGGCACCACGCCGGCTGCAGCCTGGTGCCGTGCTGAGAGCGGCAGCAGGGGCGCCTCACCTGCCGCAAACCCCACGCCCACCGCCGTCCCTACTCGCGTGGGCCAGGCATCCGAGCGCTCCTCCAGTGGCAGGCTCATGCTGCTAAGCGCGCGGGCCAGCTGCAGCGGGCGGCGGGGTTGGGCAGGCGGTCAGCCGGCGCTGCGTGCGGCCGTCCCGTAGCCCGTAGCACTGCGGCGCTGCGCCATCGCAACCAACTGGGCTGCTGGGCGGGCCGGCAGCAGGCCATGAGGGCAGGAGAGTGCTGCCTGGAGTGGCACCTCCCCTGCGCAGGCACGCACTGGGCTGGGCTCCCCGGGTATGCTTGCAGCAGGGGGAGGGCGCCGCGAGCCTCAGTTGGCGCCGCAGCGGCCGGGTTTCAGAGCAGCAAGGGAGCCTCAAGACCCTGCTGCCGCAGAGGCTCCTGTGGATAGCTAACCTCTGGAGGGGGGATGGCTCAAGGTCTGCAGCGCCTCCCACCCTCGATCGAGGCGCGCCGGGCCCCGGAGGAAAAACTGCCAGCTCGTGAGAGCTGTTGCGGCCGTCTCGCACGCTTGAGTGGTGTTGCTGATCGGCAATTCGTCTTGCACAGGTCCCTTAGGGCGCCAGCGGATCGATCAGGCGGCCAACTCTCTCGCCCGCATGTCCCCACATGCTGCCGTTGCCTGGCGCCCTCTGCCTCGGTCTGATGACCAACGCAATGAAGCAACACAATGAAGCACTGTGGAGCCGAGCCGCACGCCGCCTCCTAACATCAACCTTCCCTGCCGCGGAAGCTGGCGGCGGCTCTAGATGCCCCCCGCTGCCTTCCCTATGCTACTCTGCAACGCCCTCGTCGCGGCACACCTCCCGCAGCGCCCCCGACTCGGTCTCAACCACCGGGCCGTAGATCGCTGCAGGCAGGAGGCAGGCAGGCAGCACGCCGCCAGGGGCGCAGGGAGGGCGGCGTCGGCGGTGGGGAGTCGGAGGCGCCGCCACCCGCCCCCACTCCCCGACTGCCCCATGTGTCCGATCACCAGCCACCCAGCCCCCAGCCAGCCTCACCCGTGGAGGGCTTGACCCTGTCGCTGCGCCGCAGCGCCGCCACGTCCTCCCTCACCGAGCTGTCCAGGCCGTAAATGGGGTGCATGTCGATGCCTGCGCCGCACCAGCGCAGCACACGTGGCATTTAGTTTTGGCATTCACTGCTCAGCGGGAGGGCAGCACAGCCCTCGCACCTCCCGCCTCGCAAGCGCACGAGCCTGCACCCACGCACCCGCGCCCCTTGCATGGAGCAGCAAGCACCAGGTGTGCAGCCAAGCGCCCTGCTGTCCGGCCAGGCAACGCGCCAGCCCGCCGGGGCGGCAGCCTGCCTGCACCTCAAAACGCAGCCGCCGCGGCCGTCAGGCCGGGCACCACAGCCTTGTCACCCATGCCCTCTCACCCCCAGTCTCCGCTCCCAGCAGCTGGTCCGCCTTTGCCTTGGCGTGCTCCGCGGCGGCGGCGGGGTTGAACAGCGCGGCGTGAGCGCCGCAGTCGGTGTGGTGGATGACCAGCACTGTGTCACAGCCCAGCACCTCCTGGCACACAATCAGCAACCTGCGGCAAGGGGCACGGCGCCACGTGAGGCTCCTCCTTCGGGACGGCACCGGTGCTGCAGCTTGGCTCTTCCTGGCAAGCAATCAGCGGCCTGCGCCGCAGTTGGCGGCGGCAGTGCAGGAGCACGGCGGGAGGGCAGCGCGAGAAAGGAGGGAAGGGTGTAGGGAGGCAGGGAGGCAGGATGGCTGGTGGTGGATCCAGGACTGCGGTAGAGGTGTGGGTGCTGGCTGGCTGGAGGGGCAGCGTCGGCAGGGCCCTGCTCCTGCCGCCAGGTATCAGCCTGTGCATTGATGCAGGCTGCGCCGCGGCGCATACGCTGTGCAGCGCGGTCCCCAGAGGTACCTTCCCCTTGGCCCTCCCCAACGCCACACCGAATCACGTCTTCTGTCACCCGCCCACCGCCGTTGCGGATCACTTCCGCCTCCCCCTGCTTCAGCCCCAGGAAATGCTCCGGCAGCAGCCTGCGGATGCAGGGCAGGGTACCAGAGCAGCAGGTGCAAAGAGGTCGCTGCGGCGGCGGAGCAGAGCGCTGACGAGGCGGCGGATGCTCTCGCCGCCGCTCTGCCTCGTCGCCCGCCAGCAGCCACGCTCTTGTCTCACCTGCTGTCCATGCAGGTGAGGACCACCAGCTTGCGGCTGACCCCCAGCTGCATGTCTGGCGTGTGCTCTCCGTTCTGCCGGTAGGCCCTGTTTGCCGCCAGGCACTGGTCCAAGGTGGGGGAGCCAGGCATGGCAAGCTGCCGGCAGTCCAAGGTCCGCAGAGCTTACAGGGTGGGGGCGGTCTGGAGGCACAGGCTAATGAGAGTGGCATTGGTCCAAAAGGCAAATCTATAGACTGTATAGATCTCGGAGAGGCATGGAAGAAAGACGCGCAGGACCCATGGGGGTGTTGCAGTGCAATCAATGTGCAGAATAAACAGCAGCGCAGCTTTGAATATAATAAACTGACTCATCTCAGGAACAAACGTGGCGCGCATCAGCATGCGGCAGGCCCCGGTGGCTGATGCGCAGCGCGGGGCGCCGGCGCCTCAACTCGAGCGCCCCGCCCAGCAGGCGCCGCATGCTGGCACAGGAGGGCCCTCGCCATTCAAGTGCATGGCGCTCTGGGCAGGTTCCTGCCGATGCCGCTCGAGCGCCGGGAACTCCAGCGGCGGGCGGGTGGCCACAAGCTGCCATGAGGTGAGGCGCTGGCCGGCCAGCAGCTGCGCCGCGTCCGGCACGTACACCTGCCCGGCGGTCGTGGGGCCGCCTGCCAGCTCGGCACAGGAAGGACGAGCGGCAGGGAGCTGGACAGCAAGCCGCCTCGCGCTGCGATTTGAAGGCAACCACCCAGATCAGCGCCAGCCTGGCTGCACACTCATGGGGGTGGGCATTGGCTGCACATGTTCCAAGCATCACGAGGCGGCAGCGAGGCAAGCGAGGAGGGGAGGCCGATGCAACGACACATCCAAGGGCGGCTTCAGGATAGGGCAGGGGCAACAGCCAGCGGGCTAGCCCTCCTCCTTCCCGCCCTCAAAACACCTCACCGACACAGATGCAGTGCTTACACAAGAAGGCTGGATGCAGGCAGAGCAGCGCCCCACAGTGACGCTGCGCCTGCCACCTCAAAAAGCAGCAGCAGTTCCCCGTCGCAAGTGTAACGTTTCTATCGCCGGCGCCTGCTCCCTGCCTGCTGCCGCCTCCACCTCCTGCTCCTCTGATGACGTGTGCAGCTGGTGGTGCTGCTGCAGGTCCAGCACCCCTGTGGGCGTGTCTGAAGCCGGCGCCTCATGAGGCCCCTTGGAAGTCGCTGCCGCCACAGCAACAGGTGGCTCTTGCTGCTGCCCAGGTGCCGCTGCCTCATCTGCCAGTTGCTCAGCCAGCACCCCCATTCTGCGGAAACTGTCGGTGACGGCTTGACCATGCCTTCTAAACAGCTCTTCCTCTGATGCCGCCTGCAGGACGGCAAGGCAGGACCGGCCATGCAACCACATCAGCAGGGCGCACACAGTTAGGGCAGGCATGCCGGCAAGCAGGCAACTTGGCGAGACAAGAGGAGGATTGCCACAAAAGCAGCGCCTGCAAGAGCCAAGACTCATTGCAAACAAGCTCCTGCATGTTGGCAGCTCCCTGCTGGCATGCTGTTGCAACAATACATCCCACTCGCAGCTCCCCCGCAGTCTGTGTATCCACAGACAAAGCAGCATACACTCACCACCTCTAGCTGCTTGTGGCAGGCCGCACACAAGTCGATGGCTGGCACGCCACGCATCTCCTGCAACACCTCTTCAGGCAGCTCTATGTGGGCCAGCTCCACAATCCTCATCGGGTGCTGCTCCAAGTATGCAGTCAGCTCCTCCTGCGCCTGCCGCTGCCGACTGCGATACCACGCGGCGCAGGCAGCGCACGAAGCCGCCACCCGTCGGCAGGCGTGCCTGGCGCCTGCGCAGCACGCTGACCAGCCCGCAGCTGCATGCCAGTCTCGAGAACTGCCCTCCATAGCGGTAGCAGCGAACTGCAGGTAACAAGAAAAAGCATAACTGCGAACAAGCTTTGGCGCTGCCGTTGTGGGCGGCCCTCCATGTCCGCGGCGCTGCCGTCGTGGGCAGCGGCGAGGTGCTGGCGCTCGCACCTCACATTCCTCGATGCCCAGTCGTACTTCTTGCATGCGTAGCTGGCGCACCCGCTCTGCGTCTCTCTGCCCTTCCGGCTTGAACCTCTCCTCGTTGAGCTCTCGGCGCACCCGATGACGCAATTCACGGTGCTGCTTGGTGCCTGGTGCAGGTGGAGTGTCCCAAAGGCCTGCAAGGGCGCTGCAGGCGTCCGCGAGCCACTGCATGGCCTGTGGGTTGCGCGTTGTGGGCTTGGCGGACCTTGTTTGCAGTCGGGGAGAGGAGGGCAGAAGGCTGGAGAGTCAGTCAGGCACAAACGCCACTCTAGAGGCTATGGCGGCGGCGCTGATGTGGCGCCGCCATCCCGCTCATGCTTTGCCCCTGCCTTCCCCGCAAGCGGGTCTGGGCACCCGCCGGGGATAGAGATGCTCTGTGTGCCGTCATGCCGCTCTTTCATGATGAAGGGGGGCCACACCCTCGGGCCGAGTCATCAGAGCCCCCCGCCGCCTGCCTGCGGCCGGGCTGCCGCGGTGCCATGCCCGCCTTCTGACGACCATGGAGCGCGAGGTCGAACACTCCATGGCTGCCAGGCGACGGCGGCGTGCTCGAGGTGAGCGTTGGCTGCTCCTCCCGCTTCTTGCGCCCGGCGCCCCACCTACACGCCGGGGCTCTGCCAGCCGCACCTACGTTGCCGCTGCAGCAGCCCAGTTGTGCACGCGCTTTTGTAGCTGCGCTTTTGTAGCTGCGCCTGATCCCAGGAGTCATCTTGCAGAAATGCAATCTCCACAGATGTGCGCACAGCTGCCACAGAGCCGGTACAGCATTCGGTTGCAGGCGGCGGCGAGCTGTACTTGGGCTCGTATGTCTTAGCGCGCGCCCCGTGTCGGGGAGCCCATTTTCAGGCCAATCCTGCTCCATGAGGCGCCCTGCCAGCCCCCCAAAGAGCCCCCCAGGGAGCGGGGCAGCTGGTCGAGTCTCAGACTGGTTCCCGGCTGGCCCTGAGGATGTCACTATTGGATCCTTGGAGTCGACATGGCTGTATTCGATGCAAAATGTTGCAGTTCTCAGCCCATGTGGGCGCTTCCAATGGTACTTTCCTCACAGGGTTTGCTTGAAGGTCAGTCAGACAGCGCGCTGGACACATCTTCTGACCACGCCACAGGCCCTCAGTTTGGCTGAGCCATCTTCCCTCTCACCGAGGAGGGGGACTTTCTCATATCCCCGAGCCTTCAAACAGTCAGTCAGTCGGTCAGCCCGAGCAAGACTGCCTGCTGCCGATCCTGCTGCTGCCTGGTGAGCTCCTTGGAGGCTTGGGAGGGGCTGTGCCTTGCCAGGGAGGCTGCCTGCTGCTGCCTGCTGGTGATAAGGGACCATTGCGCTCGCTCTTGTGGACTGCTGCGGCTGCCCAAGCCAGCAAAGCTGTTGGTGTGCACTGGGGAGGAGCTGAGTGCTCTGCTAGGCTTGGCGGCGGCGCCAGGGCTGCGCACGGTTGCGCAGCGGCGGGACCGCCCGCGGCGAGTGACAGCGCCTCGTTTTGTTTCCATCTCGATCACTCCTTGCCTCATGCGTTTTTGACTTGCTTGCAGGTTAAGATGGCCGGCGTTCAGCAGGTCCCTCCGGCAAACTTGCACTGCCAGCGGCAGAGGACGGCCCTCAGCCTCCACCGGCGCCGCCGCCACAGCAGCAGCCGCAGCTGCGCGCGGCCTTCCGCGCCATGGCGCCCGTCCTACTGCTTTCAGGATACATGGGTGGCATTGCAGGATATCACTTCCTGGGGGAGCAGCCTGAGGTGTGCGACCCGCCCACCACAGTCCCCGCCGCCCGCCCGCCTCCCACCTACATCGTGCTCTTTGTGGCTGGCGCGGGCGTGGGCGCGGTGTGCATGGCGAGCGCGGCGCTGAGGCTGGCAGCCCGCAGCCGGGGCCTGGCCCGCCAGTTTGGCATCACCATCCTGGCCTGCCTGGCCTGCCTGGCCACTTATTCTGGTCAGATGTTTTACTGCGCCCGCCACCCGCTGGACCTGTGGTCCCTCCTTCTCCCGCCTGCTCTGGCAGGTGAGACTGCCGGCCCCGCATGCGCCCCTAGAGGCAGTGCCAGCCAGCAGATGCACCAGCCTCACACGCCGTGCTGCTTGCCACTGCAGGTCTGGCCTGGGTGCTGGGCTGGGAGTGGCTGGGCGCAGCTGCCACTGCCGCATCCGCCACCTCCTGCACGATCACCCCCCTCTCCTCCAGCCTGTCTCTGGGCCCTGCTGCACTGGGCTTCATTGTGGCAGGCTTCCTCCTTGGCGTGGCCATCTGGCACGCCGGCGGCCTGCAGGCCCTGGAAGAGCAGCTGGGGCACCCGGGTGAGGCTGCCAGCTCAGCGGGCAGAGCCGCCGACTGGGTGCCGACGTGCACGATGCCCCACGCCCGCTCCTCGTGTCTGTTCGACTCACCACCACACACATGGCCCTGTCTGCCCTCTCCCCTGCAGTCCAGGATGTGGTGCCGCAGGCACCCGCGGCGCCGGCGGGCGAAGCCGCTCCTGCTGCTGCGGCCTAAAGGTGAGCGCCGTCAGCGTCCTTGCGAGTGCGCCCTGCTGCACAGCCGCAGCACAGTGCTGGATACACTCCTGGCAGTGGCGGCAGGTGGGTGCTGCCTCCACCCTGGCGCCACCCTAGCGCTGTCCACCTGTGCCAGCTTCTGGAGTTCATTGCTGGCTGCCGTGCGCTGCAGGCTGGGCGACTCCCACCGCCAGCAGCAGTTCAACGGTGGGGCACCCTACGCACAGCTTGCGGTAGCCGCCCTTTGTGTCTGAGCCTGCCATGGCTGAGCGCGGTGGCGGGACCAGGGGCGGCATCACAGGCTCAGCGTTCCAGCACCATTCAGCGCCTGCTCCCCCCCAGTCCTGAGGGTGTGAGAACCATTTACACATGTATGCATTGCGTGGGGGAAAACACGAGGGTAGTAAAACATGGGTAGCTGGCGGTGGCAGACAGCCGACTGGCGCTAGGGACTCAAACAACCAGGAAACAGACAACCAGAGGCAGGGTAGCGGAACGCGGCAGCCGGGCAGCTAGAGGAAGAGCTTCGAGTCAAAGGTGGACAGCACCACGCCAAACGCCTCCACCGCCGTCAGCACTGCAGAAGCAGGAGCAGCGCGGCGGCAGCAGCCAAGCGTTCACAGGGTGTCTCGGAGGGCGCGCAGGAGCCAGGCACGGCAGGCAGGCAGGCAGGCGCTGCCACACACCGCCCCTGCCCCGCGCCGGGCACACGCTGCCACAGCCATGACCGCCACAGAGCTCCCCTTCCTCGTCCCGCCTCTGGGGCTGGAGGCTGCTGCAAGCCGCCCAGCCACCGCACCTCCCACGCCGCACGCCGCAGGCCCCGCACCCAGCCTGGCCCTCCCACCTGTGGGGTTGAAGTCAAGGATGAATGCATCCTGCTCCGCCTTGCCAAACTGCATCACCACGCGCTCCCCAGGATCATCCCCGCGCACCAGCTGCAGGCGCAAGGGGGAGGGGAGCGGCCGGGGAAAGGGAGGGGGGGTGAGGGAGCAGGCAGGCGCGTGGGGCCAGCAGGCGGCGTGGCAGGGGTGGCTCCGCAGCAAGCGCGACCTGCAGCACAGCCCCGGCAGGGATTGTGGCGGTACCGCAGCGGTACCACGTCGGCACCCACCTGGAAGTTCTTCACGCTGGCCAGCTTCACCCGCCCCCGGAAGTTGAGGCACCAGCAGCGCAGCCCCTCGTTCCAGTGCGGCGCCTTGTTCTGCAGCACCACCGGCTGCAGGCCCTTCACACCACGCCACAGGGGAGCAAGGCGGGGCAGGGGGCAGGTTGAGACGTTGCCAGCAGGCAGCAAGGGAGGGGAGCGGGCGAGCGCGCGGAGGCGCAAAGGGCAGTACAGGAAGTTGCTGGGCAGCCGGGGCCAGCTGGAGTCCAGTCGCACGCACAAGGTGTGGCTGGCTGCTCTCCACCCATCCACGCAGCCTAAGGCTCCGGCAGGGCAGCGCAGTCATACACAGAACGAATGGCTGGCTGCTCTCCCTCCATCCGCACAGCTCACGGCCCAAGCCGTGCAGCGCACCTCGTCTGCAGGCACGGTCTTGTGCTGGCGCAGCAAGCGGCCCAGCTGCTGCCGGCCGCCGCCACGCCGCCCCAGCGACAGCAGGCGGCCCAGCCGGCCCGCGGCCGGTGCCGCCGCGGGCTCCTCACCGCCGCCGAGCGCAGGTGGCGGCTGGGGGCTGCCGTCTGCTGACCCTGCGCGGCTGCTGGAGGGAGACTGCGAGGCGCGGCGGGCGCTGGCGCTGCCGGAGGGTGCCAGGGCGCCGCCGGCACCAGCGCAGGCGCCGGTCGGCGGCGTGGCCGGCCGCAGCTCCAGCTCCGAGAAGCGGCGCGACAGCTGGGGCAGCTGCTGGTCGTAAAACAGGAGGCTGGGGTGGGGCAGCAGGACCCGCATCCTGCGAGGGGCGGGCGCCGGCAGCGGCAGCTTGGTTCTCCTCGCCAGGGCTCTGAGCATGGGGTGTTGTCCAGCATGCAGCAGGGTGTGCCCCGCAGTGTCCACCCCGCGGCAATGAAACGCGGCCCGTGCCGCTCGTACCGCCCGTACAGCCAATACACCGTACCGCCCACCTGCGCGGCTGCATGAAGCCCTTGACGCGGGCCTGGTACTGCAGATCTGCAAAGCAGTCCACCCCCAGCTGGTCCGGGCGGGGCAGCCCCTCCTGCGGCGCGTGCCGCCGCTGCGCCGCCACCGCGGCCGCCGCCACCGCCGCCGCCGCCTCGGCCGCCGCCTCCTCGCCCCAGCTGGACAGGCGGCAGGGGGCGCCGCGGCGCGCGGCGGCGCCGGCCTCGGCCGCGGCGGCGGCCTGGCAGCGGCTGCGGGAGGTGCCAGTAGGCTCAAGCTGCAGGTCTTCGGCCAGCGTAAGCTTGTACTGCAGGAAGGCAGTACAGGCAGGCAGGCAGAGCCATCAGAAGCGAGCGCCGCTGTTCCCTGCGGCCTGCCAGGCCAACAGCAGGTCTGGCAGCCGCCGAGCGGCCGCCGCTCCCTGGGGCGGATGCAGGCAGCCAGCTGAGCAGCGGCGAGCAGCAGAGGAACACAGCTGGGCAGCCGCCGCAGCAGCAGAAACACAGCTGAGCAGTGGCGCGCAGCAGGGGAGCCGGGGCTTGCCTGTGTGGCAAACATGTTGCAGCGCAGGCGGGCGCAGGGCGGGCCCTCGCAGCGGCTGTTGAGGAAGAGGTGCGTCTCGTCGCGTCCGCCCTGCACGCAGGGTGGCGGCACACAGCGTGTGTGTGGATCAGGCACAGCACAGGAGCAGGAGCGGCACTCTGGCGGAGCCAGGCGCGCCTGGCAGCAGCACGCGCTTGCCCTCTGCGAGCGGGCCGACTCTCCTAGCTGCCGCTGCAGCCGCCTGTGCCTCCCCGGGTTGGTCTTTTGTCTTTTGAGCTGGCCCCGGCAGGCGCCCCCTGCCTGCGCCTGCCCTGGCCCGCACCTGCTTGGCCGCCATGAGGAAGCGGGATCGCTGCGGCTGGCTGGCATCCTTCCCGATGTGGAAAGTGAAGCGCTTGCCCGAGGGGCCGTGCTCCCGCCGCACAAAGCACTTGAGAAGGCCGGAGCGGGAGCCGGTCACATTGCGGGGGCTCTGCGCGCGGCAAGGCAGAGGGGAGGGGAAGCGTGGGTGGGGGCGTGAGCGGCAGGGGAGCGCGCGCGGCGACGGCGGCGGTGTGAAGCTGCTGCTCCCCGTGCTGCCCAGCACCGCCAGGCGGCAGGCAGGGAGGCGCGGGAGGGAGACCGCCGCGCGACGCATCCGCAGCGGGGCAGGGGCGGCAGCAGGCGGGGGCAGGGGCGGCGGCGAGGTGGCGGGGCGGGGCGGGCTCACCAGGCAGAAGAGCTGGGTGGGGTGGCAGATGAGATGGGCCACCTCCCAGGGCCGGCTGAAGAACATGGCCTGGCCCAGACGCCGCCACTGTCGGTTCACGCCGCAGCTGCAGAGGGGGAGGCATGACGGTGAGTAGATGTGTGTGTGTGGGTGGGTGGGCGTGAGTGTGTAGAAGGGGCGACTCAGGGTGCGAGGCGCGCGGGGCGGCGCGAGGTGGGTGGTGCCCCTGGCAGCCTGTCTGGCCCGGGGGCGCCCCCCCCGCGGCAGCACACGGCTGCGCATGCCTCAAGTGCCCCAACCACCCCGGCGGCCTGGCGCCTTGTGCCGGCCCCGCCCTGGCGCGAGCCCCGCGGGGCCGCCAGCCCGCGCGTCCCGCCGCGGCCTGCCCCCAGGCGGCGCTCACATGGCAAAGTGGTGCCTGCGGTTGGTGCCGCGCAGGTGGGAGAAGACCTTCTCGAGGAGGTGCTCCGGCAGGCTGCCAAACGAGAAGTCGTCCAGAGGCTCGGCGGCGCCGCCGTCGTACGAAGCGTCGTCTACCTCGTCGTCGTCGTCAGGGGCCTGCGCCACGGGGCGCTCCTCGGCGACCGCCTGTGCCCCGCGCAGCGCGCGGCGCAGCCAGGCGGCCGGTCCGGCGCGGCGCCGGCAGGCGGCGTCCTGCCGCGGGCTGGCGCCCTCGCCGCCGGGGCTGGCGGCGCTGCTGCCGAGGGCGGGGTCGCTGGCGGCGGCTGCTACGGCAGCCATGGGCGCCAGGGGGCGGGCGGGCTGCCAGCGAGGGGGTCGAGTGGGAGGGGCCAATTGCGGGGCAGCGCCAGGAGGCTCCCCGCGGCCTGTGCAGGCTGCAGAGCACTGGTGCAGTCGGGGGTCAGGCTGTGGGCCGCGCCAGGAGGCTCGGAGCACAGCTCCCAACCCTGCCCTTGGGGTGAAGCGAGGGGTGCGTTCAGGGGGCAGCTGGGCGATCACGGCGTTGCTTTCACGAGTCCCAAATCGGCTGTAAGCCATGGCGGGGAGACTGCGCCCTGAGATGCATGGGGCTGCACTGCTGGCAGGAACGCAGGCGGAGGGTCCCGTTGCACGGTCTGAGCGGGTCACTGGTTTGCTCATAGGACCTGTGATTCATTTGGATTGCGCAGGCCCGTTTCGACGACAACTCGCTTTGAGCCATCTCGGGCGCACACGGTGAGAGGCAGTACTCGTGCCTCTGAGGCTGCAGCGCAGCCCTGATGTTGCATGCACCCGCCTGCAGTGCCGCCTCCCGGATCAGCGACTGGGCCCAACAGCATCGCCGCTTTCTGCCTCTTCTTCCTGCTTGCGGCACTGCCGGCTGGCGGCCATCGCTGCTGTTGTGCACAGCATGCCCTCCTGCCGCGCGCGCAGCCCGGGAGCCCCGCACTGCGCCGCCGCCGCTCCCACCCGCCGCCGCCACCCGCCCGCGGCCGGGACGCCAGGTGGCGGATCGAGCGCCAGTTGCCCGCCCTGATTCAACACCTTGCGCACGCGCCCGTATCCTGCAGGGGGCCAAGGCAATTCAACAAGCGAGGCAGTTTTAGGGCAGCCAGAGCATCGGCAGGACCACAGCAGTCCCTCCTGCAGGCTTCTCGCGCCCCCACCCACACCCCTCAGGCGGTGGCATGGAGCTGCGGCGCAAGAGCAGCAGCCGGGGGCTGCCCCCCGCGGTGGCCGCCGTGGTGGCGGCAGCGGTGAGCCTCCCACGCGCCGTGCAGCCGGCGGCGGCGGCTCCTCGGCGCGGTGTCCTGCTCAGCGCGCCGCCCACACTCGGCGCCGCCATGCCTCGTCCCGCCTGCCCGCCGCAGGACTCTCTGCGCCTATGTGACGCCATCCGCTCCGCCGCCGCCGAGGTGCCCACGTGCCGGCGGGACTGCAGGTGGGTGCTGGGCGGTACCGCTGCGGACTGGCGGCTGGGTGGTGGACAGCTGCCCGCCAGGCGCGTGCCCGCCGCTGCTCACTCTCCTGCCGCCCAACTTGCCTGCGAGCCCGGGGCCCGGCCTGGCCTGCCCTCGCCTCCGCTGCCGCCCCCCCAGGACACTGGCCCGCTTTGTGGGCAAGGTGATGCTGGTGATTGAGGCGCTGCACCCAGCCATGGAGCAGCAGCAGGCAGCGGCCAGGGAGGCGGCCGCGGCGGCGGCGGCGGCCTGCGGCGCGGGCCAGCCGCCGACGCCGCCTTCCGCGGCGGCCGCCGACGCCGCCTGCTCGCCGCTGCCGAGCCAGCCGCAGCGGCAGGACCCCGCGGCTGCGGGCGCCGCGGCGGCGGCGGCGGCGCAGCAGCAGCCGGCGCTGCCGCCCGATGCGCTGCTGGTGGCGTGGGCCGAGGCGGCGGGCGACGTGCGAGAGGCTCTGTCTGCTGCCTCAGACCTGGTGGCGGCCTGCGGGGCCATGGGCAGGCTTCAGGCGGTACTGGAGGCCGAAGAGATGCGGCGCCGGTTTGCGGCGGCGGCCGCCGACCTTGGCCTGGCGCTGTCGGGGTTGCACGCGCTGCAGGCGGCGGCGCCTGCTGATGTGGCCGAGGACGTGGCGACAGCTCAGCGCCAGCTGGCGGCCCTCCGCTTCTCGCCCAGCAGCCAGGCCGAGACGCTGGCGGGCGCGCTGCTGCGCGGCGCCACGCTGCAGTGCGTCGCGCCGGACGGCGGCGGCGGCGCCAGCGGCGGCGCCAGCGGCGGCGGCGGCGGCGGCGGCGGAGGCCAGCTGGCGCCGCTGCTTCTCGAGGCGCTGTCGCTGGCCGGGCTGGAGGCGTCTGCCGCCGCGGCGGACGGCCTGCCCTGGCCGCAGCCGCCGGCGTGGCTGGAGTTTGAGGTGCGGCGCATGCGGGACGGAGCGGCGGCTGCGGCGGCGGCGGGGGACGCGATCACCGAGTTCTTCTACACCCAGGCGAGTGGGTAGAAAGAAAGAAGCGGAGTGGTGGCGGCGCCGCTGCTGCTGTGTCCTGCCGTGCCGTGCTGCAGCCTGCAGCCTGCTTCGGATGATGGTATGATGATGAGGATGGTATCCTGGCAATCAGCAGCGTCGCGGGCGTGAGGGAGGAGAGCCTTGCTGTGCCTGCATTGCAGGTGGTCCTGTCCCTGCTGGCGCACATGTGCGGGGCATGGAGCCCCGAGCGGCAGCTGGCGGCGCACGCGGCGCCGGCGCCCAACGGCGTCCACGCCGCATCCTCCGCGCCGGGAGCGGCGGCAGCTGCGGCAGCTGGGGGCGACCCGAAGCAGCAGCAGCAGCAGCAGCAGCAGCAGCAGGAGGGCGTGGGCGAGGGCGAGGAGGAGGGCGGCAGCCTGGCGGCCCGCCTGTACCACCACTTGGCTGCTTGGTCACACGAGGGCAGCTGGGGCCGGCAGCAGCAGCAGCAGGAGCGGCGCCTAGGCGTGCCGCCGCTGCCGGCCAGCGCTCTTGTGGTGCTCGACAGCCTGACAGGTGCGGGGCGCCTGCCTGCCCGCCCGCTCGCTCCTGTGTGCCTGCTTGCCTACGGTGCCGGGCTGCCGAGGCTCCCCCCTGCTCACTCGCCCATCCACCGACCGCCTCCCATGCCTGCCGGGGCGCTAAGCACACCTCCACACACCCATTCCTCTAAAGCACCACGCGACCATCTGGTGCCCACCCCACCCACACCACCTCTGCCACACACACACACACACACACCTGGCCCCCTGCTGTGCCCTGCTGCAGAGGACACGCTGGCGTCCCTGTTGGCAGCCATCAGGGCGCAGGGCGGCCACCCGCTGCGCTCCATCGACCTCTCGGACCGAGCCACTCTGGTGGGTGTGCCCGCTCCCCTCCCCCCAGCCCTCCCAGCCCACCGCCTGCCCCCTGGCTGCGCCCTCGCTCTCGCCCCGTGCCTCCCCGACTGCGCCCTCGCTCTCGCCCCGCGCCTCCCCGACTGCGCTGCATGCACGGGACACGGGGAGCGCGCCTCTGCTGGCTCTCCCCGACTAGCGCTGAGCTCCATCAGCTGGGCTGTAAAGCGACCCCTCCTCCGCCTCCCCCTCTGCCCGGCGCAGGTCGCCGCGCTGCAAGCCCCCTCTGAGCTCTCCCAGTTTGCGGCGGCCCTGCTGATCGAGCAGCTGGTGGAAGGCGGCAGCGAGGCGGACCGGGAGCAGCTGGTGGAGTGAGCGCCCTGGGGCAGAGCACTGCTTTCCAGATAGCTCGTGTTTGGATGCATGCGGCAGCGGTGGTCTCTGGTCGCCCCCACCGACGGCTGGTTCCCGGGAACACAGTGGAGGCGGCACGGGTCGCCTCCGCCTCCCTAAATGCCTCTGCTGCTGCTGCTGCTGCTGCTGCTGCTGACCCGGCTGCCGCGCGGCCCCCCGGTTCCCGTGCCCGCAGGCTGGGCGCGGTGCCCCGGCTGCTGGAGGTCATGCGGACCACGCGGCAGCCCGCGCTGCGCGCCGCGTCTGCCACGGCGATGCGGCACTGGGCGAGGGACGGCGCCATGCGCAAGACGCTGGCCGCCGCCGGCGCCATCCCCACCCTGTCGCTGCTGCTGCAGTGCCCCAGCACCAGCGCGCGGCAGGCCGCCGCCCGCGCCATCTCCAACCTCGTCGTGCACAGCGGTGAGGGGGGTGAGGGGCGGGGCAGGGCAGGGCAGCGCAGCGCAGGGCAGGGCTCTCACCGGCACGGGCGTGCACTTGCCTGCTTGGTGCAGCTGCAGCCAGCAGCAACAGCCAGCAGCAGCAGCAGCAGCAGCACTAGCGCCACACGGCCACACCGCCACCATCCAGCCACCACGCACACGCATCCCATGATTGCCGCCGCCGCCGACGCCCTCCCATCCGCCTGCACCCCGCTCCTGCGCCCCGCTCCTTTCCCGCAGAGGCCAACAAGATAGAGGCAGCCAAGTTTGGCGCCATCCATAGCCTGGCCCGCATGCTGGAAGCCAAGGACGCGCCGCTGCTGCAGGAGGCGGCGGCGGCGGCGCTGGCCAACCTGGCGGCCAACAGCGGCGAGGCGCAGAGCCTGATCGCCAGCGCGGGTGCGGCGAGCTGCTCGGCGGGCGTGTGTGGGTGGGCGTGTGTGGGTGGGCATGTTTGGTTGGGAGTGTGTGGGTGGGTTGTGTGTGGTTGGGCGTGTGCGGGGTGGGCCGTGCTGGGCGGATGCGAGCGGTCTGGCTGGGGTGGAGGCTGCAGGGCGGAGCGGCATCCCGGGTGTGTGCCGTCCGCGGTGGGTGGGTGGAGGTGGGGACGGCGGGGATAGCTCTGCAGACACTCACACAGCACAGGTTCAGCCGCCAGCCAGGCACTCGTGATGTCAACATGCCTGTGCCCGCCAGCTGCCCCTCGTCCCTCCCCCAACCTACCCCACCCCACCCCACCCCCCGCCGGCTGCCGTGCAGGCACCATCCCGCCGCTGGTGGAGGTGCTGCGCAGCGGCACGACTGCCGCCAAGCAGCACTCGGCCCGCGCGCTGCGCAACCTGGGTGGGAGGGCGCGGCCCGCCTGCCGTGCTCCTCTGCCTGCCTGCCTGCCTGCCTGCCTGCCTGCCTTGCTGGCTGGCTGGCTGTGTTGGCTGGCTGGAACCTCTGGCGTATGCGTTTCTCGTGCCGCCGCCTTCCCCTCGCCTCCCCTCTACATGCACCCCCCTGCCTCCCTCCCACTCACCTGCCCACACACCCCCTTGCCTGCAGCCGGGCGTGACACGCAGAACAAGCTGCGCACGGTGGAGGCCGGCGCCATCCCGCTGCTGGTGGCGCTGATGGCAGCGGAAGGGGACGCCGGCCACGCCTCGCGTCAGGCGGCGGCGAGCGCGCTGAGGTGGCGCCACGCTGCGCCCGCTGTGCCTGCGCTGCCCGTCGTGCCCGCTGCCTGCCTGTTCATCGCCTATGGTGACCATACCCTGCCTGGCCGCCTCCTGCCCTCGCGCGGGGCAGTGGGACAGTGCGCGTAATGCTGCCTGCCGCTGCCGCGCCTGCTGCCGGGCTGCTGGTGCTGCCGCCGGGATAGGTTGGAGCCAGCGGCGTCCTCGCCTGCCGCTCCTCAGCCACCAGGCCTCCACCCCCGGGGCCTTGCACCCCCTTGTACCCCCTTGTACCTCCTTGTACCTCCTTGCACCCCCGCCCGCCCCCGCAGCAACATCGCCTGCAACTGCGAGCAGGCGCAGCAGGAGATTGTGGCGGCGGGCGCGCTGCCCGTGCTGTGCGACCTGCTGCTGCCGTCCTGCGCCTGCGGCACGGCGGTGCGCGAGGCCGCCGCCTGGACACTCTCCAACCTGGCCTGCTCGGCGGACGTGCGGGCGCATCTGAGGTGAGGCCGGGCCGCATCTGCGCGGCGCGGCGCGGCCCCTGCCTGCCCGCCTGCCTGCCTTGCCTGCCTGCCTGCGCGGTTGGGTAAGCAGGCAGCGGGATGCGAGAGTGAGGGCAGCGGCGGGCAGGCAGCACGGGGCGGAGGGCGGGCCAGCGGAAACAGAACACTCCTCATTCAAGCAGCAGAGCACACGCGCCACACCCACACCACATACCTGCGACCCCGCGCCCCGCGACCCATCCCCCCTTCCTGCCTCTGCCCCTTGCAGCAAGGACCCGTCCCTGCTGGAGGGCGTGGTGGCGGGCCTGGTGGAGCTGCTGCGTTCGCCCGCCGACTCGGCGGGGCAGGCCGCCGCCCGCGCCATCAAAAACATGTCGGCGGGGCACCACAACAACAACAAGGTGGGCCGCGTGTGTGTGTGTGGGTGGGTGGGGGTGTGTGTTGGGGAGTTTGTACCTGTGGTATAGTCTAGACCGCTCCCATGTATGTGGTGTTGGTGTGTGCGAGTGTGTGTGTGGGTATGTGTGTGTGTGTGGCCCCGTGTGTGTGGCTGTGTGTTAGTCCAGACCGCTCCCGTACCCCCAAGCAGGCGCCGGTTTCTGCCAAGCGCGCCGTGCGTCGGCTGCGCGGCCCCCGCCGCTGCCCTCCTCCCTTCCTTGCTCCCCTCCTCCCCGACCCCTGCTGCGCCGCCCTGTTGCCACAACTTCCCTCCCTTCCTCCCTCCCCGAATCGCCTGCCTGCCCCTACCCTCCCGCCTGTACCGCACAGGTAAAGATAGCCGAGGCCGGAGCCATCCCGCCCCTGGTCTCCCTGCTGCGCTCTCCCAAGGATGCCACCCGCAAGGCCGCCGCCTCAGGTGGGCACGGCGCCCCGGCCGCCCCGGCGGGCGCCGGGCTGGCGGAGAGGCGGGCAGGGAGGCGGGCGGGCACGGCGCCTGCCTCTCTGCCGGGGTTTTGCAGCGCCCTGCCCCCGCTTTCCTCATGGCAAGCTGTGGCCTTCCTCACTGGTACTGCCCCGACCCTCTACCTGTACCACCTGGGCGCAGCCCTGTGGAACCTGGCGTACCGCAACAACCCCAACCGCCAGGAAATTGTGCGGGCGGGCGCCATACCGCTGCTGGTCCAGCTGCTCACGGTGCGTGTGCCACTGCTTCTGCGTGTGGTGTGCGTGCGCGGTGCCGAGGGCAGGGCGCCCGGTGGGCCGGCCGGCGAGGCAGGGCCGCCAGCCTGCCTGCCCGCCCGCCAGCCCGCCTGCCTGTTGCCGTGCGCTCTCGGCAGCGGCGCGGCGCAGGCGTCAGCTCTGCCCCGTCGGTGCGCCCAGCATCACCCTCCCCTGCGCCGCCTCCCTCCCTGCCCCGGCCCTCCCTCCCTCCCGCCTCCCCTCTGCAGCCCGGCAACAGCGAGGGGTGCCGCCAGGAGGCGGCGCGGGCTCT